CGGCTCCCTCCGTCTCCGCCCGCGGGAAGTCTGTGGAGGAGTCTGTGGGAGCAGCGGCAGAGCCACACGGGGGAAGAACCTCAGGGCCGGGTCAGGGCGGCCCTCAGGGCAGAAACGGGAACGTTGGTGGCAAACGCACAAGGCGGGCAGGCAGGGATCGCCAACTGCATGCGCGGGCCGAGGAGCCAGCGCCAGGCCCTTCTTGGTGCGAGTGAACCCGTCTCCCCGCGGCCCCCATCCAGCCGCCCTGCCCGTGACACCCGTGTGCTCTCCGGCGTGTGCGCGTGGCGGGGCCATGGGCTGCTGCGGAGGGAGCCCGGCCGGGGCACAGCAGAGCCGGCCACACACGGGGGACCCGGGGCCCTGCCTCCCGTACAGCACCGCGGGAGGAGACCCCGAGGCCGGCTGTCCCTGGAAGGCGGGAGAGCTCCATGAAGGCCGGGTCCAGTCACGGGCGGGCAAGAGCCGGGCAGGACCCTCCGCAGCCCGGCTGGTCCTCCAAGTGCGAGAAGAGGCCTGGCCGAGGCTGGGGATGGGCAGGCAGGGCACCCGCCCCCACAGTCAGGGCCCGGGGCGGGAGCAGGTGCTTCCTGGGGGCCTCGCAGCCCCCACCTCCTTCCCCGAGCAAGGACAGGGGAGGCCCAGGGCTGAGACCGTAGGAAGAAGAGCCTCGGAAAGGGGCCCCGAGCCGTGAGCCCCTGAGCCGTGAGCCCCCAGCGCGTCTGAGGGCAGGCGGGCACCAGTGCTCCCCCAGAGGGCAGGACCCCAGCCCAGGAGGAGGGGGATGGTGGACCCCTCCACACCAGGCCCAGCCCCTCCCCCGCCCACTCTCTGCAGGTCAGGCCCAGACCACCCTCCTCGGTGAGCCCCTCCCCAGGGAGCCTCAGCCCCGCCCACCACGTGTCACCTCCGGGCAGGTACCCCCGCCTGCAGGTGGCTGTCAGTCAGGTCTGGAGAGCCTCCCTGCCCCCACCCACCCGTCACTTTGGGTGTCCCTGTCCTGTCCGCACCCCACGGCAGCCCCTAACCCTCTGTCCACAGCCAGGCTTCCCCTAGACCCCGCGGCCCAGCCCACACTGTGCCAGAGGGAACCTTCTAGAGTGAAATTCTGAGCAAGCCCCCCACATCCTCCAGCCCCTCCCAGGGCACTTGGCAGCCTGTGGCTCCGGCCACGTGGACCTGCCTGCTGCTCTCCCGAGGCCGAGCCCCCTTGGCCGTTCCTCCGCCTGGAGCCCAACCTCCCCCCAGGGACGTCTCGCGCCCTCCCCCAGCAGGACTGCAGGGCCCCCGCCGCCCCGTGGAGGCCCAGGTCTGGGGAGTCCCAGGAGGGGTGAGTGCAGACACCCCACAGGGGCAGCGGGCTCAGGCAGAGGGAGGCCTGCAGGTGGGGGTCCTCCCCTTAGACCGTGGCCGCCCAGCCAGGATCACTTGCAGGCTGCGCAGAGAAGGGCGGGTGCGCCCAGGCAGTCGGGTGCCGTGGAGAAAGACTTTTATTCCGCACAGCACTACTCGGGGAGATGGGAGAAAGTTTCTCAAATCAGCCTCCCTGACATTTGGGACACAGGCTTTTTAGGGATAGTTTGGCAGGAGAGGGATTAGGCAATTAGGTTCATTTATTGGGGCAAAATTATAGGGGCGTAGCAATCATTTTCTTGGGTTGTTCCAGTCCCTGGGGTCACCGTTCCAGTTGAGGGGGTTCCTCGGTGCTGGTCGGGGTGGGTGGGCCGTTCCACCGGATGCGGGGCCTGGACGATATCGCAGAAACCACGCCTGTGTGGCTGCAGAGTGACACAGAGAAGTAAGCTGGGCAGTGGCCAGTTGTCATCACTCTTTTTGGCCGGCCTTGGGCCTTGGTTTTGGCTTTGCCCCCGTTTTTTGTTTTGCTTAAAGGGTTTTTTCAGGGCCCCCTTGCCCTTCCCCTGCACCCATCGAGGGCACAGCTGAGACCCCCGGCCAGGACCAGCAGCTCCGAGGGCCCGGGAGGGGACCCAGCCTCTCAGGAGCACATGGAGAGCCAGGCCCGGGCTGCTGAGCTGGGCGAGCCCACCTGCCCACCAGGACCACCCGTTCTGTGGGTCGGACGCAGGGAACAGGTAGAATGAAGTCGGCCACTGCCCGGCTCCGCAGACGGGATCGGAGAGAGGCAGCCCTGAGGGGCGGCATCAGGAATCACCTGCGTTGTGGGGCCAGGCCCCTCGAGGGTGCCCCACACCCACCGCCCCCGGGGCCTTAGCGGCAAGCTCGCCCCGCCCGGGCAGGCAAGCTCCCTTTGTGGTGGGGTTTTGGCCACGGTGATTGACAACTCCACAAAGCACCACACCCACCGCCTCTGCTCAGCGAGGGCTCCCTGGCAGGTTTCTGCGCCCCAGCTCGGGTCTGGCTGGACCGCTGCTCACCCCGAGGGCTGGGCCCAGGGCACCTGGTCTTCGGGGCACAGTGGGCAGCCAGGTGAGCTGAGCCAGGCCAGGGGTTTGGCTCAGCCTTGGGGACAGGAGGTCAGGCAGGGAGGGGAGGAGGCGTTTTTGTATGGGAGAAGCAGGAAGGCAGAGGCTGTGCTACTGGTACCTCGATCACTGGGGCAAAGGCACCGTGGTCACCGTCTCCTCCGGTGAGTGCCCCGCAGCCCCTGCCAGCCTCTCCGCCGGCACCAGGCCAAGTCCCCGGGGTCCACAGCCGCCATCCCTGGGGCTCTTAGCCCCGGGGGTCAGGCTGGGCTCCGGCCCCATCAGGGCCCCACCCTGCGTGGTGAGCCAGTCTCGAGCGGGGAGAGAAGCCGCAAGGACAGGGCCTGGCGGGAAGGAGAAGTTGTGGGCAGAGCTGGAGCCGGGTCCCCGTCACCGTCACCTGGGCGATTTCACCCGTGCCGGCGCCCCAGCCCTGGGGCCGTGCTGGGTGCGGGGACCCGGGCCTGGCCGGCAGAGCGGCCCACACAGGTGCAGGTTTATGTCTGGGTGGGAACAGGGGCTGTGTCCCTGTGTGATGCTTTGGATCTCTGGGGCAAAGGCACCGTGGTCACCGTCTCCTCAGGTAAGACGGCTTTCTTCTCGCCGCCTCTGTCCCGGAGCTGCGAAAGAATTTTCCAGAGGTTCCTTGTTCTGTGGGGCCGGGGGCCGGGGGCCGGGGTGGGGTGCTCTGCAGGGATGGGGCCTCCGCTGCAGGATGAGGGGTGGACAGAGTCCTGCTCATGTCTGGGGACACGGGGACCTCAGGAACAGGGCCTGTGGCCACGGCCAGCCAGGCGGGACAGGGTGGGGTTTTTGTACACCCCCTAACGGGGTGCCCAGCAGTGTGACTACTTTGAATACTGGGGCAAAGGGACCCTGGTCACCGTCTCCTCAGGTGAGTCCTCCTCTCTCCCTCTTCTGCTCAACTCTGAGGGCTTTTGCCGCATTTTGGGGGAAAATAAGTGTGTCTTGGTCTCGGGCCAAGAAGGACTGGGGACAGTCTGGGGGCTCAGGAAGGGGCCACCGAGGGGCCGGTGGCTCGCAGGACACAGGGCAGAGGTTCCAGACCCTCCTCCTGGGCTCTGTGGGCCCCTCCCCACACCCCACCCGAGGGTCCCAAGGACTCAGCCGGGCACCAGTTTTTGCCGGGGGCCCTGGCAAAATTGTCACAATGTGATGACTGGTTTGACGTCTGGGGCCAGGGGACGTCGGTCACTGTCTCCTCAGGTGAGCGCTCGGGAGACTCGGGGTTCAGGGTCGTGGGGTCAGTCACCAAGGCATTTCGGAGTTCAGGAAAGGGGCTGAGGAGAGGGTCCCCCACGAACGGGGGCTGGACGGCCAACCTCCCTCTCCCCGAGTCCAGCCCAGGTGTCTTTGGGGGGTCCAGGGTGACCGCTGTCTGCTCTGCCCAGCCGTGACAGCAGGGCTCTGGCCACTGCAAAGCACCCGCCTCCCGGGGCAGAGCCCGGCCGGGGCCACCCAGGCCTGTCTGTCGGGTCAGACTTCCCAGGCCAGCAGTGGCCCGGCTGTGAGGGTGCCCAGCACGGTCCCAGGACCCTCAGGCGGGGCGGGGAGTGAAGCGGGCACACAGCCCGGGAAACCGTGGCTTGGACAGTCGGCTTCCGTGTGGTGCCTGGAGACCTCCGTGTCTCTGGGCAGCCGGGGCGATGCCAGGCAGGGCGCCGGGGGTTTTTGTGGGGTGGCGGTGGGGATTCCACCATTGTGACTACTACGGTATGGATTTGTGGGGCCAGGGGACAGCGGTCACCGTCTCCTCAGGTAAGAACAGCCACTCCACGGCCTTCTCTTTCTCCTCTTGCCTGGGGGGTTTTCTGAGCATCTCGGGCTGGTCCTTGGGACCTGTCCCCGAGGGGACCTGGGTGGGCTGGCCAGGAGGGA